CCCCCAAAACCCCAAAACCCCAAAACCCCGGGTGTAAAATTTAAGACTGATTCATGCGTCGAGTGAATTATATTAACTTCTCAACTCTTTTTTGGATCAACATTCTGTTCCGGTTGATGATCTCTTGCCGCAATTGGCCGATGTTCTGCAAGCTAGGGTCTTGGATGGTGCTCAGGATTTCAGAGTGCTGTAAACCGATGTTTGATGAATATTTTAGAGCTGAGTTGGGTGCTGTAGGGGTCAGTTTGCTCTCCTCGTGAATGGGAAATCTTCTTGGATTTCCTCTAATTATGTTGGGAAGAGGCAAATTTTGGACTTTAGAGGGAGATTTAATTTTTTTGATGCGAGAAACGATCGATTTTATTAAAAATATGAATCAAACAATGCTTCCGATAATTGGGGAAGCCATAAGAATTTTGATGTAGAAATCTTCATAAAATGGAGTCCACCTCGATTTCGTATTTACCCAAGATAATGGAACAGCAAGAGAACAAAATAAGATCTGGTTGATACATTCAATAATATTATCTTGAGAGTTCTCATACGGTCTGACAATCAGGAGGTACCCTCCATAAGCAATGCTTATTCAATAAAACGCTGTGGCTTTGTAAAATGATGGAATCGTTTTCCCAAAAATAACAATTGAAATCAGCACGACTCTGAGCATCAAAAAGATAGTTGTGTAGAGGTTAGAGTATTTGCCTTGCTTGATTCCATTGAAAAACTCCTTACACTTCCAATATTTCTCATTGTCTATCTCTGGAAATGATTTCTTATACATGTACAAAGAAAAGAGGAGTAAGTAAAGTCAAACCATGACGGTAACAATGCAGAACCCGAACGAAATCTTCACCATCGTTGTTTTCAGGTTCAGCGAGTAAATTTCAGAGAAAGTGCAGAGTATAGTGAATGCAAATGCCTGTATGAAGATTCGAATGTAAATGTTGAAGGTAAAAAATTCAAATAATTTATTGAAGAACTTCTTGCATCTCTCTTTTTCAGATTTCCTTGCCCATTTTGTCAATATGGAAACTCAAATATGGCTTAATATGAACAAAATAGTAAAGAATATAAAGGAAAAATAGTTAACAATAGAACTTCCTGGGCTCATCCCAATGTCTTCCAAGTATTCATCAGTATGCGGATATTTTACCCAGTTTGCAATAGTTTTAACAAAAGGGATATCTTTGAGATGAATTAAATCAAATGAGAACATTGCGAAGCCCATTCCATTCAAGAAATCAATGACTTTGAGGGGAAATATTCTGGAACTAGTGGCAGGAGCATTACAAGTTGTAGGCTATTCATCATAATCTACTAGAACATAGTAAATTGTATATGATTTAAGCAAATAAATTCTTTGCTACATCCAAAATATCTTTCCTCAGCAATCCTAACCTGAATTGTTAAAATCTCGACCAAAGCTTTATAATCAGTGTTTTATCGACTGGTTTTTAAGATTATTTAAGCATTGAAAGAATAATTCTAAAAATTTAACCTTATCTATTAGTTATAAAGAATTGAAGGGGTTTTGGGGTTTTGGGGTTTTGGGG